CTGTGAGGGAGCAGCGTGAGGCACGGCGAATAATTAATCATGTAGGTAACACACTCTGATCCCCCAGACTCACAGACGGGGTGACTCGCTCTGCCCAGGCAGCCATTAGACCCTTCCTTACCTAACTCCAGAGGACAACACGTGGCAGAACCACCTGGGAACACTCATGGCAGGACTGAGGGACTCCCGGGAGGCTGGACCCCTGGCCAGCCCCACTCCTGGCTGGTTCCTGCCTTCCCTGCCTTCAGCCCCAGGGAGTGGAGGAGCAGAGCTGCACAGCCTGGCTCAGGGCTGGGACATCTGCTCCTCCTCACCCTCCCAGGCTGCAGCCAAAACCTCAGCAGGAGGAGGCTGGCCAGGGATCCCAGCTCTATAAATAGCTTTCGGGAATCGTTGTGTTTGCAGACGGGCAGGAAAACCCACCCACAGCAAGCCAGGCTTCAGAAAAAGAGACATGACATTTTCCCCAACCCTTTCTCCAAGCGCTGCCACAGTTCCCCTCTTCCCTGACTACCCTGGGCACCTTCAGGAGCAGGGCCGGGGTTGGAAGGGCTGGCACAGCGAGGGGAGAGGGGAAGGGGTTGTGCCCCAAAAGCACTGCCACCAGCACCCTCTCCCAGAGCTCCCATTTCAGCCCCTCACACCGAGGAACCCGCGGGTTCCCACCCCCAACCCGAGCAGATCTGGTTCTGCTCTGAACTCGCAGCTCCAACCCTGGGGCAGGGAGGGGGGGAGAGGCAGGGGGGGGTTGCAGACCCCCTCTCAAGGGCAGCTCGTTAACAGCGTGTTCCCAGGGACAGGATTCCCCTGCTCCAGCTGGCACAGGTGGCTCCAGCCCCTCTCCCACAGCCCCTCCAGCCCTTACCTGCCTCCTCTCTCACACACGCTCCCCCGAGGCCCCAGCTGCACTTTTCCTCTCCCAGCCGGGTGGATTTTTCCAGGAGCTGCGATCCCAGCCCCGCATGGCACTCCCGCTGCTCCTGCTTCCAGCTGGGTCTCTCCCGAGAGCCCGGCGGGATTGGGGCTGGCTTTGCAGGCGGGCTGTGCTCCCAGCCCCCGCTCCAGCACCGCCCTGCCGGCTCCCGAGGGCTCCTGCGGGATTTTTTTTTTCTTTTGCTTCTTCCCCCTCCAGGCTTCCCCTGCCCATTATACCGGCGAGGCAGGTTTGGGTCCCTGCCCTCGACGCGCTGAGCTGGCGAGTGACCTGGGGGGTCACCCAGCCCCCCAAGCTGCTGCAGATACTGAGGGGGGTCACCCAGCTCCCCCAAAGCTGCTGCAGATACCTGAGGGGGGTCACCCAGCTCCCCCAAAGCTGCTGCAGATACCTGAGGGGGGTCACCCAGCTCCCCCAAAGCTGCTGCAGATACCTGAGGGGGGTCACCCAGCTCCCCCAAAGCTGCTGCAGATACCTGAGGGGGGTCACCCAGCTCCCCCAAAGCTGCTGCAGATACCTGAGGGGGGTCACCCAGCTCCCCCAAAGCTGCTGCAGATACCTGAGGGGGGTCACCCAGCTCCCCCAAAGCTGCTGCAGATACCTGAGGGGGGTCACCCAGCTCCCCCAAAGCTGCTGCAGATACCTGAGGGGGGTCACCCAGCTCCCCCAAAGCTGCTGCAGATACCTGAGGGGGGTCACCCAGCTCCCCCAAAGCTGCTGCAGATACCTGAGGGGGGTCACCCAGCTCCCCCAAAGCTGCTGCAGATACCTGAGGGGGGTCACCCAGCTCCCCCAAAGCTGCTGCAGATACCTGAGGGGGGTCACCCAGCTCCCCCAAAGCTGCTGCAGATACCTGAGGGGGGTCACCCAGCTCCCCCAAAGCTGCTGCAGATACCTGAGGGGGGTCACCCAGCTCCCCCAAAGCTGCTGCAGATACCTGAGGGGGGTCACCCAGCTCCCCCAAAGCTGCTGCAGATACCTGAGGGGGGTCACCCAGCTCCCCCAAAGCTGCTGCAGATACCTGAGGGGGGTCACCCAGCTCCCCCAAAGCTGCTGCAGATACCTGAGGGGGGTCACCCAGCTCCCCCAAAGCTGCTGCAGATACCTGAGGGGGGTCACCCAGCTCCCCCAAAGCTGCTGCAGATACCTGAGGGGGGTCACCC